TACATCCTGGCATAGATTATGTTAATGTAGACACAGGACCATACTATTTTCGGGGGTGCTAGGACATATTGTTCAGACTTCCGTCAACATTTCCGTAGCGATATATGGTAAATCACTTCCTCGCTGAATGTAAATTACTCCTTTGTATTAAAAAAAGCCCGTAATCTAAAGCGAGGGTTCATTGCCAATGGTTGGGAAAAAATTGCATTGCGGTTTGCTGCCCTCCTACCAACCGCGAACGTTCATCACATGCAGTTTACGTAGGAAATATGGACAATATGCCGTTTCAGTAAATAACCTGACATCTAAAATTGTTGAAATATTCACAGAAACTCAAATTACACTCTAGGTTGACCGTCTAATCGTGTGGTAAGCTACATGTGTGCTGTAGTGACATGAATTGGCACTTTTGTGGGGAGGGGGGCGTCCCAACAAAGGTCAACGACCTCCATGGCTTACGGCCTATGTTTCACGCTTTTGCACTTCATAAGTGAACAATTTTAGATGTCAGGTTATTTACTGAAACCAAGGAGGTTGAATACAATACTTGTATTTAACCTCCTTGCTGAAACGGCATATTGTCCATATTTCCTACGTAAACTGCATGTGATGAACGTTCGCGGTTGGTAGGAGGGCAGCAAACCGCCATGCAATTTTTCCCAACATTGGCAATGAACCCTCGCTTTAGATTACGGGCTGTTGAACACAAGGAGTAATTACATTCAGCGAGGAAGTGATTTACCATATATCGCTACGGAAATGTTGACGGAAGTCTGAACAATATGTCCTAGCACCCCCGAAAATAGTATAGTCCTGTGTCGACATTAACATAATCTATGCCAGGATGTAATAATCACTATTTAATACTCCTAATTAATAAACGTGTGGAACATTGCATGCAAAACAAACAAAATTTTCTTAAAGTGTAAAGTATATTATATTTTAATAGGTTCAAAATAAATTTAGTTGCCTAGAATGGTAAACAGAAATATACCGCCCATAATAAAAATGGGAGCATCCACATGAAAGCAAAATGAATGTCGCTTCGCCAGCCACCAAAAAACTTCGCGAAGTACACACAAAAAAAAACAAGTACCCATAGAAAATAAAAGTAACCCATAGAAAATACAAAGTACCCATAGAAAATACAAAGTACCCATAGAAAATAAAAGTGGAATAAAAAATACTAAGTGTACTTATGGGCCTTCGTATTTTTTCATTAAATTGCCACGCCATTCTTACTCCTAGTGCATTATGTATGGTGCAATGAAAACAGCCAGACTAATATACATGTAACACAGTTACTGCCGGTTAATAACTATGGTGCACGTGGGGGTGATTGAGACAACACGCCCCCTCACACGTGTAGGCACACAGAGCAGTGTGCCATTTCATATCAAATGCATGTTTAATCAATACATGTAACTATCAGTTGTTCTACTCTCTGTTCTATTTCCCAAGCGTACTGCACTGACTGACTGACTGACATATACTGCACGCAAGGCATTACCAGTAACATAAGCACTGCAAACGTTGATAAAAGATATATACCCGGCAAAGCGTTGCACTACACTACTACAGAGTTGTGATATTTCTCTTATTAAAACGGAAATAAAGACAAGATGACGACACACTCTTATATCATATCAGGGCCGTCATCAAACATTCAAGTACTGCAAAGATACACAGATATAATAATACAGATAAACATACCCAATCAAAACAACAACTTAAATACAAATCTTTCTGCCATGAGCACAAGTCCTAAGCCCCATCCCTTGGTATGTCAGGCATTTTACGTTTTCTGTATGATATACATTTAACAGTACGTTTATGTAAGGGGTTGAAAATGACACTTTTACGTATAATGCTTTTGTGGCCAGTATGATAATTCTGGTTATGCTAATTCGAGGCTTTTATGATAGGAACATCAAGGACATGTCGTACAGGTGCGAAATGTTGTGTTGTTCTCTTGCTAGACGACTGTCTGCATTGCAATCTGTGGTTTGTCTGGGATTTGAGAATAAAAAGCTGGGAGTTCAGTGGGTTGGGAGAACAGTCTAGAGGACAGTCTGAGACAGAGACAGCTTGCGAGAAGGTTACAGAGAAGACTGTCCCAGCCCATCGTCTCCCGTGCGTGTGTGACGGCAATGCCTGTGTCCTGCGTGTGTTCTTGCTAGCCCTGTAGTTAGTCTCCCGTGCAGCATCCGAAAAGAACCTGGTGAATTCCACCTCGGTTACATTTACAGTATGATATACATTAAACAACATACTCTGATCTGATGTACGCATTTAGCCCCATATAGGTACATGTATGAACATGCAAATAAAGACTGTTTCTTTGTTGCACGGTTGTATACCATGTATTGGCCTGGAGGGGTAGAAAGTGTCTGGCCATAACATAATTGAGTGTAACTGGGAAAGAAACTAGACAGAAAATTTCATGCATGTTGAATGAGATGACGCACGAACAAATATTCATCACAGCACAGAACATCAAGATGGCGCGAGGCGAGACTCTGGTCTTCTTACTTCTGGTCTCCAGTTACGCACTTTTTGTAGCAGCTCAGCTCTGTCCAAAGAGCTGTTTCACTGACACATCCCAAGAACCCCTGGGGGCCCTTGCCACTTGCCGCTGCCCTATTAAGCAAGGGACGGAGACTCCCTGCAGTTGGGTGGGGCATGGCGGGATGTACAGTTTTCTCTTTTGCCTTGAGGCGATACCAGATGACTTTAGCACGCAAACGCGGTCGATCTTTATCGAGCACCTCTGTTCCTCGACTTTGCGGGAACAGTCTTTCCCAAACGTCTCAAATCTTCAGGGGTTGAGGATCCAGAAGTCAAACGTTTCTATTATAGAGAAAGGCGCTTTCCGAGGCCTACCGCTACTACGAGATCTCAACCTCGGTAACAACCGCATCTCAAGTCTGGGTAAGTTTCTGTTTCACTCCCTTGACGAAAATGCACGTTTTGCTTTTTTGAGGGGTGCAATGGGCTCTAACATGTGTGTACGTTTATTTATATCCTACCCGGGCCGCGATAACGTTCGATAACGGGTTCCAGACCGGGCCGTACTTTACGGTACGGCCCGGTCCGGAACGGCCCGGTCTGGAACCCGTTATAGAACGCTTCCATGGCTTCCATAAAACGATTCGAATGCGTTTCGCTCTAACCGCGTGTGCCCCTTTCGAAAATTCGAATACAGAATCCGGACGTTGGAATAGATGTTGTTGCAGTTTAGGGTTTAGTGGCACCAACTTTTGGCTCATCTTGCATTGAAAGGCGCGTTTTCTTGGGTGGGTATAACATAAATAAAATACAACACGGTGTATTCCGCATCGCCCTCGGTCCCGGCCCTCCCGCGAGTCGGATCGCCCTCCGGCCTGCGGCCGATCCGACCCGCGGTCGGGCCGATACCTCGGGCGATACGGAATACCCCGTGTTGTATTCTATATGTATCAGCTACAGCTGCCAGGGCCTTCCACAGTATTGCAATGTTGGCAATTTGAATAACTAAATGGACTCTAACATTTTACATTGATAATCATATTTGGTCTGATATGTTGCAATACCTAGCCTGGGTACCATCCGGATTTTCGCTACGCAACGTGATTTTTTCGAGCGTTGCGTAGCGAAAATCCGGATGGTACCCAGGCTAGCAATACCACCCTTACTGTGAAAATTGATGTATATATTCTGGCGGTAAGATTCAAAACGTAGGAACATGTATCAAATGAGATTACCAAGACGAGACATCATGAATGCTGAACACTACGTATTTACACCAATTCAATTGGAATGCATTTCTCCGGCACCAACCGATTGTTAATGGAAAAATTGCCTTTTGGGATGATTGTATTTTTGCCCAGATCATTTCGTTGATATGACGATCCGTTTCTCCTTTCCTCAGATCCCGATGCGTTTCTTGGCCTTGAAAAACTAGGCAACCTGTTCCTCGACAAGAACATGCTCTCTGCCATACCGCAGCATGCCTTTCGCGGCCTGCCTCTACGGCAACTGATCCTGGACGACAACCTGCTGACCTCTGTGCCCGTCCATGCTCTTCTACAGCTCAAGGCATTGCGGAGTGTTGGCCTACGAAAAAATCGCATCACTGTCATCGACAGCGATGTCAAGAAACTGCAGCAACACCGTTGCTTACGTTTTGTACTGATGGGAAACATCAAAGTGCGATGCGACAGGTGGTTCATCTGTCACCGAGAGTCCCTGTCCCTGTCCCGCCTTTCTTTCCCTCGAGGTCCCCCTCTAAAGTGCGCGTCACCCGCTGAGCTCAACGGGACTTTCATCTCTGACGTCAGCAAGGATATTTGCCAGGCCACCACTCACGGACCGGAACAGCAGAGCGTGTCCACCAGGTCATCAACGGCCAACATGGTCCCAAGAGCTTTTCAAATGGTCAACAGCAATCTGTACAACGAGACTATCGTCACCGGAAACTACACAGAGGTGCCACACAGCAACAACATGTCAGCCTCTGATCAGACAACACAGATGGACCATGTCATCCTTCTAGGGGGAAACCCTGCGATCAGCGACAACGTCCGCATCTTGGTCAGCGCCGTTGCCGTGCCCCTTCTCCTCGTGCTGACCACAACGATCGTCCTCCTCATCCACAAGTTTTACCGCGGCTCATCAAATCCAGCTCAACAAGGCGCAGCACCAACCCGTGCAGACGATGCGGACGAGGCAACCCCTGAAGCGGCAGGAGACGATAACATCGAGCCGTATGCGGTGGCCTACGCTAGCGCTGCGGACGAGACTGAACTGCAACGATGTGCCGGTTCAGGCGCAGCCGGACGACCCGACCTTGCTCTTCACAAGACCCAAGAAGACAACTGTACCATTCAGCCGTATGCAGTGGCCTATGCAGAAGACCCAGGGTCGGGGATTCAACCGTATGCTGTGGCTTACGACGAAGAGCAGATTCACTAGTGCCATGCAGAGACTGCCAACGATGACCTTGATATGCATACTACGCCAGAACAATCCCTGAGTGGAACAACCTGTCGGCATACATAGTGGACAGCCCCTTGCTGGACTCCTTCAAGAGCAGGCTGTCATCCCGACCATAGTCCAGACGCCGCGCCTCTCCCCATCTGCGTGATGTCCCGACCAGGGAATTTGCAGACTATTGAACTTGAACTTGAACCTACGGCAAGATGACAACTATAAGATAGGCTACCCTGACGCCCCACAAGATGCTGGAAACTATAAATTCCCAAGCACGTTAGTGAAGGTTAAACATCCAGGTAAACTATATCACTCTTCTTTAGCGTCAATCGTGACACTGAAGAGGAGTCATGGATGTCACTTGAAACGTTGGGAATTTATCTCCGTAATTCATCCAATAGTTGAGTTTGAGTTTTCTATGAGTAATCTCCAAGCAGATTCTGTGGGGCAATGGTCCATATTGGACCTCCTTAAGAGCAGACTGATACCCAGTCGGATGTTGGCCACCAATTTCTTTTTTTTAGCATTGTTGTCGATATGTTGAATATCTTGTATCTGAGAAAGGAAACGCATATATACATATACCAGATGCACTTGTGTAAACTGATTGTATTGTTCCTTTAACACATGAATATTAGTGTATCATTGTATATGTATCATAAAATGATGTATCGTAAAATCATAGATGGACTTCTATCGACATGCTACAATTGCAGATCAAAATTAGTCTATTACGGCCATTGCTCATGCAATTTGTGATCATTGCTGGCAATTGTCAATTATGTGATTGTAGGCAGCAGCAATCATCAAATTAGAGGTAGATTGTGTTTCATTTCCTACTTCAATAACTTTTTTCATCTCTCCGTGAAACAGAAACATCAATATCCTGTAGGCTTCATGACGTGTGGTTGATAATGAAAACAGCCAGACTGATATACTGCCAGTTAATTTGAAAACTTTATTGCACAACAACTGTAACAGGTATGGCAAGTAAATTAGTGCCGCCTTTGTAGTATTTTTGTAGTCAGTAAAATCGCTATTGACTGCAGCAATAAAGAGTTCTATAACTAAGGAGTTCTAGAAATTAAGGCCACCACTGGGTAGGTTCGTCTGTGGGTTTGTGTGTATATTTGTCAAGAATGGGTTTACGGTACGTGGGTGGGAAGGATTCATTGAGTGACAGGCAGAATGGCAGGTCTACGTACCACTAGTGCAAACGGTAACTGATATGTGGATCCGAGTCACGGAAAAGCTGAAACTAATGTAATATCATGTGATGTGAATACAGAATAAATTAGAGAAGCGTTGTTCTCAATCTTGATGATTGATTGTCTGATCATTTTAATTTTGACGTACTTGTATAGTTCTTGATGTTAGTTTTATTCCTTTTTATGCCTTTTATTCCTTTTTATTCCTTAATATGCATAATTCAGATACTTGTACTATGTACTAACGTGTAATGTGTTATGAATGTGTAACGTAATGTGTAATTTTTGATTGACAGGAAAAGGTCAGACCGTGCACAGAGGCAATTTAACATTATCTAGTGTCCTTGAACAGTTTAATGGACAGAAAACGAACAGGACAAGGACACATATACATATATAAAGATGCCCAAATAGCAGCGTTTAGCGTCCAGGGTGTCTGTTTAAACGTTTCTCTAATTTCATGATTCACTTTTCCCCCCAATTCTCTCTTAGTTCTTCAGTTTTCTTCCATTTCTTGAAGTTGCCCCGTTTAGAGTCATATAGCTAGCCCTGGTAGTGTTACAATACTCTCCGAGCAGAGGTTTGGGTTTTCGCTCATTTTTGGTGTGTTTTAGGCATTTTATCGGGTTGCTTTTTTGCACTGGTGTCTTTTTTTAAGTAAAAAGATACCAGTGCAAAATAAAAAAAAAGAAAGCCCGATAAAGATGTCTAAAGTAAGTCAATTTGCAAAAAAACAAGCCAACGCCCAAACCTCTGCTTGAAGAGTAGTGTTACACGCACTTCATGGATCTGTATACTGTTTTTCAGTAACGTGTGGTGCACGTGTGTATATGTAGCGGGGGTGCGGGGGCGCTTCTCTTCATTTCCCTTTCTGGTAATTACTTGGCAATATATCATATTGTTTTTTCCATTAGGCCATGTTGATTTGATTATATGGATGACATCCGCGCGCGCATGAATTTTCGGCCGTTTCCAAAAAAAAAAGTTTTCAACCATACTGTAAATCGTGCAAAACGGTTGCTAAATGAGCAAAAATATACCATAAGTTGCAAGGAAAACATTTAGAAACGATACCAATGTCGTAGAATGCCAAAATCAAAGGAAAAAAGACAAAAAATGTAAAGAAATGAATTCGAAGAGTAGCTTATTTGCCATAACATATTCTGTGCCATTTGTTCAACCTTCATGACCACGTAGATTTCATAGTGAAAGCAACTTTTTTTTTTGCAAAACCTTTTTTTTTATTCGCACGCGCGCATCAGTTTTGGGGTTCCCAGAGGATGTCATCCATATAATCAAATCAACATGGCCTAACGCGTGGTGCACGTGTGTATATGTAGCGGAGGTGCGGGGGCGCTTCTCTTCATTTCCCTCTCTGGTAATTACTTGACAATATATCATATTGTTTTTTTTTCCATTACGCATAAGAAAACTGATGCTGTGTTTCCGATTACAGTCCTGACAACAGTAGGGTTACGGTAGGAAGGGATTGTCTATCTTTTCTGTGTTTAGATTTCAAACGAAGTGATGCAACAATTTAAATACAGTGAAACTGAAATGAATCAGTGAAATGAAATGCATCAACACTGCATAGGGTTTTCAACGATATATCTTGATTATGCAGATATACATGTACATTGTAAAAGCATATGTATGTATGTACGTACTGTAACGTACATGTATGTTAAGAGAAGTTCCCATACTTCGAACACCTAAGTGCTAATGATAGATTTATATTTCTGGTGCGTTTAGACAAACCCTGTATCACAACCATGATCTGTTCCCACATTTTCCATTGTACAAAAAAGCGAGAAGAAGTTGAACACTCTGTATTAGATCAGTAACTAGAACACTTTGTATTAGCTTAGTATAGTATCCTTGTATGTTCCTTATGTATGTTTTCTACACACGTTTGTTATGTGTCTGTTAAGTCTTGACCTGTACCTAGCCCGTCGTGGCATGAATGTACAATAAAGGTATTTCAATTTCAATTTCAATAAACCTAATAAAGAACTACAACGTTTACTACACACGTGTTAACATTTTCTACTAGTGCAGCATAAATTATTAAGACTCGGAACATTCTATAACGATACCAATCTAAAGGTATGAATCTCGTGATGGTCAGTGGCAGTGACTGCGACGTCGACTATTATACAACGCTTTTGTAATCTCCAAGCAGATCATACGGTGGCAAGGCAGTATCCACTAGCCACCCCTCTGGCCAACGAATACTGCCTTGCCACCGCATGATCTGCTTGGAGGTCACACTTCGACCCTTTGACCATTGACCAGCCTTGGGGTTGACTTGTTGACCGTAGCTACATTAACATACGGACTAAAATAAACTATGTCAATACAAAACATGGCGGCCACGAACGCTTTTTCTCCAGTTCTCCTCGTGGTAAGTCACATTTTAAGGGGTAAGTTCCTCTAAGATTGCTACTGCCATTGCTATAATGCTAAAATATACTATACACAGATATCTATAACGAAATTTAGTTAAGTCAGGAACCACGTAGCACCTTGCTTCAAACATTGAAGGTGATCAAAGGTCAAGGACAATGTAAGGTTCCTATTTTTTAGCCAAATTGTATGTAATTATAAAGTTATGAGGATATAGATAAGACACTGCCCAACTAGTAGCTAAAATCAGAAGCTAAACTGATGCACTGCGCAGAAGAGAGGCGTATCCAGAGACAAGAACTCTGCAACAGACCCGAGTAATCTTACAGGTGTGCCAAATGTGTTAGAAACACATTCTCGCATAGTCCATAAGGCCATAGAACTGTTTAACCATAGCCGAAGCTGTACACGTAACGTTAGGGCTCATGTCAAGTAGGATTTTTACCATAGTCGATATTGGAAGAAGGAGGCCATATGTAGAGTAGACAACACTGTACCGTAAAATCGTGAGCCGTGAATACATTGATTTACCCACAGTCTAAAGACCAAGGACACTAGCCTCTATCTACCAGGCTTTGAGAGGCGGTTGGAAAGAGTAGAACTTGGCCAAATAGAGAGATAACATGTCAGGGTACGGTGAGGGTAGTTGGTCTGATACAGTACAGTTGGTCTGATGTGTCCTTGCTTGGTCTACAAGGACACATCCCGGACCTGTGCTCATATCTTTAATTTTATCTCAAACTGTTCCTTTCATACCAACGCTCGAAATGAGTTGACTATTCAAACTTCTACAATTTACCCCAATTTTACTAAACTTACAGACAAAGAAAAAACATTCTTCTTTTAACTTCCCCAAACCCACTAATTTTGGAAAAGGTGGGGCATTACGTCTTCCATGGTCTAAAAAGGAGAAGTCAAACCCCTTAGATATAGTCTTAGACATAGCTATAGCTCTAGACAATTACCTTTTATCATGTAGATTTTAGTTATTTTATACTCTGTTTCATTGTTCTTTTATGATTGTAATTTGAAATTAGCCTCCGGGCACGAATTTGCAATAAACTTCACATATTGAGTGTGTGAGCTCGAGTGTGTGTGTGTGTGCTTGTGAGCGTTAACATTCGAATCCCCATAGATACGGCATTCTATATTGCACAGGTACTATTGGGACTCCTCGTCGGCCACGGTTTGGGACAATCTGAGGAACCTCGGCTGATCGACCTGACCTGGACTATTGAAGAAGGGATGAACGTGTATCCCGTGCACGCAGAGTACCGCTTCACCGTAGTTTACAGGTAAGAGACTATCCTAAAGGTCCTTCATTCCTATCGCAGAGTGGAACTCGCTGTCATCAAGTACAGTAGGGACATTGTCATTAGATAGCTTTAAACAATGTTTAGAGTTAGATGTTCAAGGGTTAGATGTAACAAGTCGATCGGAGTAATGTAGCCAGCTGCCGCCGCGCCGCGTGCCTTATACCGGCTATACAGATACAGATATATCCGTCGCACGACCATCGTACGGTCGCAAACATATGCATGCTATTCTAACATTTCCTCGTAAATTATGCAAATGGGGTCACGATTTGAAAACTAGTACTTGTGCGGCGGGGTTAATTTTTTTCGGGGCGGGGGCCACGCGAGTTTTAACGGGCGAGAGATTTTCTTCGTAGTTTTTGTTGGCGCCGAAAAGACGCTAACGCTGTCGTCGCGCAAGTCTGTGAAGGATGCCAGAAAAGTAGTGGATGCTACTTGAAACGTCTGACGACTTTCAAAATCTACCCAGTACTAGTTGCTCAAGTAACTGTTTACTTGTGTAGCTCCGGCTCTCATTAGCTGGATTTCTAATCTTTATTTACGTAGAGGTTTATTTAGTTGTTTGTTTATTTGTTTGCGTAGAGGTGAACAGCCCGGCGGGTACTATCTGGAGTCCAACAACATCTTCATGGCCGAACATACGGGAACTCACCTGGACGCGCCTGCTCACTTCGCGGAAGGAGCTTGGAGACGTGAGTTACATGACAGTTTATTGTTGCTGTTGTTGTTTTTTCTCTCTTTGCTTAATCATTTGATTAATATGTTTACTTTTGTCATACAAATTTGTACTTAATATTTGTTTTCTGTCTATTATTTCCTCTGTAACTTAAAATGTACTACCCAACTGTTTTATTGGACAGAAAAGAGGAGGGTTTAATTTAACTAGTTTAACTCCCCTGGCTAATTACTCTCCCCACTTGGTGGAGAGTGGTGTTTGTTGTATTGTCCTCTGTTGGTGGCGGCATGAAAATAAGTTTTAAAAAAGTATCTTCTTCTGTCGTCCCCAGTTGACCAGATCCCGCTGGGACACCTGACGGGGCCCGGGGTTGTCGTGGACGTGAGGGAGAAGATCGGGGACAACCCAGACTACGCCATCACTCAACAGGACTTAGAGGACTGGGAACGGGAGTACGGGCGGATCCCAGACGACTGTATTCTCATGCGTAAGTCGGAAGTCGCGCTGAAGCCTTTGTGTAAATTTTTTACCAAATCCTGTATCTGTCTCGTATCTGTATACTGCCCGGTATAACCGCCTTTCGGCCTAACACACCAGCTTCGCAGGCACGCGACGCGGCGGCAGCTGGCTATATTACACCGATCGATTTGTCACACCTAACCCTTGAACTTCTAACTCTAGACATTGTTTAAAGCTATCTAATGACAATGCCCCTACGTATATATACTGTACTTTGTGACAGTGAGTTCCACTTTGCGATAGTTGAAGGCACTCTGGTACTCGAAGGCAACAAATTGCCCCTCAAATGCAGCGTTTCAGAGGGTCAAGATTTCAACATTTTCCTTTAAAAATTATCCTTTAAAATTGTACATACCGCTTTTGGGAAAATGTGTGGCAGGTGATACACAGACCACTACCAGTGTACTAGCCCCCTGCTGTAGTGGCCTGTGTGTATGGGAGTTGGGAGTTAAACACACATCACTACCAGTGGACTAGCTCCCTGCTGTAGTGGCCTGTGTGTATGGGAGTTGGGAGTTAAACACACACCACTACCAGTGGGCTAGCTCCCTGCTGTAGTGGCCTGTGTGTATGGGAGTTGGGAGTTAAACACACATCACTACCAGTGGGACCCGCCATAAGAGACCATGCTAATGGTTGCGGATAGGACATTAACTATTCAACTAAGTAACTAAGTAACTAAGTAACTAAGTAACTAAGTAACTAAGTAACTAAGTAACTAAGTAACTAAGTAACTAAGTAACTAAGTAACTAAGTAACTAAGTAACTAAGTAACTAAGTAACTAAGTAACTAAGTAACTAATTAGCTTTCTTTTTACTACCATGACTGGCACGTAGTCCGCACAGGCTGGGGAGAGTGGTACTGGGAGCAGGGAGTCAGCGCCTACCTGGGCACCGACACCAAGGACGTCACCAAGATTCACTTCCCTGGCCTGCACCCAGGGGGCGCTCAGTGGCTCGTGGACAACCGTAAAGTAAAGATGGTCGGCATTGATTGCATGGGCGCGGACACTGGAGATGCTTCTGCCAAGGTGATACGTTTGATAGAGTAAAAACAGCGATTGTAGCTTGAAAACCCAAATCCCCAACAGTTTTATTATATAAAGTAGAACCATGGTTCTACCGGGGTTCTACAGAAGGCATTGGAAGATTCCATTGCTGCATGGGCGTATATGCAGGGGTGATTTATGTGGGTGCGGGATAGGTCCATTTTTGTTACGGGGGGTGTGGTGAAGCCATCTGCAGCATTTGCTCCCGAATATATCAGGGCACTCCGGCCATCACTTATAGAGACGGTGGACAATATAAACTCGCTGGCACGTTTGCCTTCTGAGCCTTGTTTTTGTGATAAAAATTGAAGTAAAAAAATCCTAACGGTTCACAGCTTTCTGCCTTACCCCACCTAGACTGCTCCGGCCCACCAAATCCTCCTGCCCAACAACGTCCTGATCCTAGAGAACGTGGCCCACCTGGACGAGATGCCCCCTACCGGATCTACCGTGTACGCCATGCCCATCAAGATCGGCCAGGGGAGCGGAGCTCCCGCCAGGGTCTTCGCAATCGTCGACAACCGAACCAGCGCGGCGGGACCGACAACACCAAACTTCATCCTCGCCGTAACTTCAGTTATCATGATTATCTTACAGTCACTGTGAGGCAAATGCACCTCCTTCAAACCGTCTTCAAATCAATACACCAACAAGTACCGGAATACCTACAAATGTTCTGTAGAACATCTCATATCTACCAAACTAGGCACAATTCAAAATTATCTTTAAAACTTCCTAAAGTCCGATTAGAATCTGGCCGAAGAAACTTTGCGCACAGGGGAGCATTTGCCTATAACGGCCTACCTGCCACAGTTAGAGTGGCCACGTCTTACCTGTCATTGAAGAAGCTTCTGAAGCAACTCTGCTGAACTCTGACCTCCTGACTTTGGCCTGGCTTAACGACATTGATTTATGGTATACGATTTTGTTTTGACGCTTGGTTATTTTGTAACGTTATGTATTGTTAATGTGTCGATTTCATTGTTTTCATGTTTCACTTGTTACAGGGCATTCCTGAAAAGCAGTGGTTTTAAATAGCACTGAGGTTTCTACCCTGTTCAAATAAAACAGAAATAAAAAAATAAATACAGGCTGGCCTCTACCAGGCTTCGGGAGGCGGCTGAAAAGAGTAGAAATCGGCCAAATAGAGAGATACCAGGGGAGTTGGTCTGCTGGAGAGAACAGTTTGCCGCACTCGGCCTGGTAGAGGCTAAATACAGGCTATAACGTCATAGCTATAAACATAACAGCCGCTCACCAATTTCTCATCATTTCTATTGTCTTAATTGTCTACTGGTTTTATGTATCAGTTTTGTTGTCATGCACGTGCGTCACGAATTTTGTTGTGCCATGATTTTGTTTTCTATCTTGAAATGAATAAAAGAAAGAATTAAAAAAACATTTCAGCCGTCAATCCAGGAACTCTCCACAAATAATGTTAATAATTTGCATGACAACACCAAACCTGGCCGTCACGGTCTCTGTCGTTATTCTGGTCATCTCAGCATTCACGTAAAATGGCCCTCAGGGAGGGCAAAACGGTTGCATACGCACCTTCACAGGTTGCCCTGCCCAATACAAAAAACACAACAACAAAATATATGTTATAATAGTCAGCAATATTACACACACGCGCACGCACGCACGCACTCACACACACACAGACACACACACACACACACACACACACACACACACAACACACACACACACACACACAACACACACACACAAGACACACGCACACACACACACACACACACACAGACAGACACGCACACACACACACACACAATGGCTGCAATACAGTATGAATTTGTCAAGACAGTATCAACTTGGCCAGGCAGTATCCAATTCTTTC